TTTTTATTTTACCTTTTCACTTCCTTTTTCTTTTCCAAACCTGTCTGTCTGTCAAAAAAACCCTCAAACAGAAAGAATCCTTTAATTTAATAATGCTTCACATGATTTGTAGAGACCTTTTCCAGGAAATGCAGTGACAATGAATAGTAACTCTACAACATAAGTTTGATTTGAATTAACAGTCCACTCCCGATACAACAAGATTGTCGGAACTCATGGTTCCTCATTAAAAACTGAGTCTCCGTAGTAACCGGGATGGGACAAATTAAGAAATCTGACACCATCGGGTATCATTAATTTGTACTTTCGTTTTTGCGCACATCCTTTAAAAAGAGCACAATGGGTGTTGGTAACTCTTTGGATTTTTATCAATCGGTTCTTGTAGAAACTTGTCAGGAAGGTTTTATGGGTCGTCTCTTGTCAGAAACAATTGAAACAGATTTCAAGGTCAAGTATGAATATGGTCATCTTGGGTCACAGGAGCTACAGTTTTGCTCCAAATATCCTGGAAGTTGGTAAGGAAGGTTGTTTTGATGATTTCTTGTGTTAAATTGTAATATGGGTCATCTCTGGTCCAAAACTAGGTCACAGGACCAAAGAAAAGAAAAAGCTTGTTAACACTCTAGTGGCTGCAGTTTTGATCAAAAATAGCCTGGAAATTGGTCTGGAATGTTGTTTTGAATATTTCTAGGTCGAATTTGAATATGAGTCATCTCCAGTCAAAAAACTTAGGTCACATAAGCTAAAAAAAGAAATATCTTGTTAACAAACTAATAATGGCTGCTGTTTTGATCCAAATATCCGTGAAATTGGTCAGAAATTGTTTTGATGATTTCTAGGTCAAGTTGTATTATATATGAGTCATCTCCGGTCCAAAACTGGGTCACTGGAGCTAAGAATAGAAAAATGTTGTTAACACTCTAGTGGCTGCAGTTTTGATCCAAATATCCTGGAAATTGGTCAGGAATGTTGTTTTGATGATTTTTAGGTCAAATCATTTATGGGTCATCTCCAGTCAAAAAACTAGGTCACAGGAGCAAAAAATAAAAAATTTTGTTAACACTCTATTTGCTGCAGTTTTGATCAAAATATTTTGGAAATTTGTGAGGAAGCTTGTTTTGATGATTTCTAGGTCAAGTTTGAATTTGGGTCATCTCGCGTCTAAAAATAGAAAAAGCTTTTTAACACTCTTGTGGCTGTCGTTTTGCTCCAAATATCCTGGAACTTGATCTGAAAGTCTGTTTTCATGATTTCTGGGTCATGTTCCAATATGAGTCACCTGGGGTCATAAACTAGGTGACACTGCCCAAATATTGAAAAAACCTTGTTAATACCCTAATGGTATTGACTCAATTGTCATCAAACTTGGTCAGGATGCTTGTCTAGTTAATTACTTGGTGAAGTTTGAACATGGGTCATCTCTGATGTAAAACTAGGTCACAGGAGCTAAAAATAGAAAAAAATTGTGAATTCTCTAGTGACTACTATTGTTATCAAAATATCCTGGAAATTGGTCTGAAAGTTTGTTTTGATGATTGCTAGGTCAAGTTGGAATATGGTTCACATGGTGTCAAAAACTAGGTAACACTGCCCAAAGATGGAAAAACCTTGTTAACATTCTAGAGGTCAATTTTTTGACCCAATGGTCATTAAACTTGGTCAGGATGCTTGTCTAAGACATTGCTCCAGTGAGTTCGATGGAACAGGGGAGTGATCTAGGGCCATCATGGCCCTCTTGTTTGCATGTTTCTTTGTTTATTTACGTGTATATACCGATACATGATGGTTATTAGAAAACCCATTATCAGTTGTGTGCCTTTTTAACAGGAGAAATGTAACATTTACAACTTTTGAAATGTTGTTTGTTTTTATTGTGTCGCCTCTACGGAGTAGTGGCGACATATAGGGATCACTTCTCCGTCGTCTGTCTGTCCGTCTGTCTGTCCGTCTGTCCGTCCGTCCGTCACAAAACTTGTCCGGACTACTCCTCATAAACTACTGGTGCAATTTCATCCAAACTTTACAGGAATGATCAGTACCAAGTCTAGTTGTGCATATTGTCAGGATTTTCCGGTTCAATGATTTTTGGCCCTTTAATAATTTTTAATTTTAAAGTTTGTCCGGACTACTTCTCTTATACCACTAAGGCAATTTCAATGAAACTTTACAGGATTGATCTGTAGCTCAAGTCCTTGCGCATATTGCACGGGTTTTCCGGTTGAATGATTTTTGGCCGAGTTATGGCACTTTGATAAAAAGGTTTCTTTTTCTGTGTGTTGCCAGATACACAAAAGCTTGTCCGGACTACTCCTCATAAACTACTGGTGCAATTTCATCCAAACTTTACAGGAATGATCAGTACCAAGTGTAGTTGTGCATATTGTCAGCATTTTCCGGTTCAATGATTTTTGTTTGAGTTATGGCCCTTTAATAATTTTTATTTTTAAAGTTTGTCCAGACTACTTCTCTTATACCACTTATGCAATTTCAATGAAACTTTACAGGATTGATCTGTAGCTCAAGTCCTTGCGCATATTGCACGGGTTTTCCGGTTGAATGATTTTTGGCCGAGTTATGGCCCTTTGATAAAAAGGTGTTTTTTTTCTAACCACTTATGTTAAAGTTTTTGTAATAGTTCAAATATTTTCAAAGTCCATTGACATATGGCTTTGAAACTTTGCACACTTGTTCACCATCATGACCCCAACCTGTAGACAGGAGGAGGTAACTCTATCAAGCATTTTGACAGAATTATGCCCCTTTTTCGACTTAGAATTTACGTTAAAGTTTTTGTAATAGTTCAAATATTTTCAAAGTCCATTGACATATGGCTTTGAAACTTTGCACACTTGTTCACCATCATGACCCCAACCTGTAGACAGGAGGAGGTAACTCTATCAAGTATTTTGACAGAATTATGCCCCTTTTTCGACTTAGAATTTACGTTAAAGTTTTTGTAATAGTTCAAATATTTTCAAAGTCCATTGACATATGGCTTTGAAACTTTGCACACTTGTTCACCATCATGACCCCAACCTGTAGACAGCAGGAGGTAACTCTATTAAGCATTTTGACAGAATTATGCCCCTTTTTCGACTTAGAATTTACGTTAAAGTTTTTGTAATAGTTCAAATATTTTCAAAGTCCATTGACATATGGCTTTGAAACTTTGCACACTTGTTCACCATCATGACCCCAACCTGTAGACAGGAGGAGGTAACTCTATCAAGTATTTTGACAGAATTATGCCCCTTTTTCGACTTAGAATTTACGTTAAAGTTTTTGTAATAGTTCAAATATTTTCAAAGTCCATTGACATATGGCTTTGAAACTTTGCACACTTGTTCAACATCATGACCCCAACCTGTAGACAGGAGGAGGTAACTCTATCAAGCATTTTGACAGAATTATGCCCCTTTTTCGACTTAGAATTTACGTTAAAGTTTTTGTAATAGTTCAAATATTTTCAAAGTCCATTGACATATGGCTTTGAAACTTTGCACACTTGTTCACCATCATGACCCCAACCTGTAAACAGGAGGAGGTAACTGTATCAGGCATTTTTTTTACTATCAAGCACTAAGAATAGTCGATCATGCTGTCCTACCGACAGCTCTTGTTCATCATGTCTTAAACGGTTTTAACTGGTGGGGTTTTGTCCTACATTCGTCTTAAACAATTGATGTTCAATGTTAACCTAATGTTTCTACTTGTCCAGATAATTCTGAACTTATGAATTCCGGAAACTTCCAAGTCCTGAACTTTTTGGCTAGTCCCACAGGTGTTCAGTTTTCAGAAGTTACACTGAAGTAACATCTTGTTTTAGTAAAATTTGTTTAGACTCTTTCTCCTACACTTGAAATGGAATTAATGAAAATTTAGGAATGATTCTGGCGTATATACCGGTATTTTGGCATGTATCAGGGATTTTATGTCAAAGCTGCCTTTCAGGGGCATAAGTCACTTTTAAGTGACAGCTTTTGTTTCACTTTGAACTTTAATGTCTGGGACATAACTATATGAGATATTAACATTAAATTTTGTAGGTAGATAGATCAGTGCAGTGCAAAAGAAATGTAAATCTGCCTTGTCTAATTTTAGAGATATTGCCCTTTTTTAGCTCAACTTTTTTTTTTTTTTGGAAAAAAAAAAAAATATATATATATATATATTATACAGTTACATTCCTCCATTTACGGGGCATGTTTAAAATGACGTATGGGGGTGTAGGCTACCCTTCTAAAATAGTGCCGTAAGCCGGTTTTAATAGTTAATGATATTTGCACCACAAATGTATATATTTTTAATGGGGTTTTATGTTTCTTGTCAATATGTTTTCACCTATTGTAAAATTAAATATATAGTTGATATATATAACTCATTAGTACCCCTTAGTTCTGTTGTTTGGAAATGTTCATTATATGCCTACATAGTGGCATATATAAAAACTGACTGCATGAAATAATGCCACTTAAGTTGGTCTTATATATGGGCCCCGTAGGTGATGGTATGTGTGAATATATATTTTCAAAAAAAAAAGTGAGCTAAAAAGGGCAATAACTCCAAGAATATGCGTGTATTATTATATTATGAGTAAATTAATATATAATACTCAATGTATAAATATATATATATATATATAAATGTGTGTATATAGACAGACCGATTAAATTTATAAAAAGAAAACGTTTTTTCAAACATTTCTTTGTTTGCTTTTAGAAAAAGTAAAAAGTCAAGCATTGCCCCTGCCAGGCGGTGGCTCTTGTTCAATTTTACGCTGTGAACTTTGTCCTGGACATTACTGTGAAACTACCAAAGATATCAACAAAAAACTATGTCCGTAGATAGATCTCATTGAGTAGAAGTGCAGTGCAAAGAATAGTAACTCTCAGCAGCCTTGCCCTAATTTTAGAATCATTGCACTTTGAACTTTGTCAAGGACATAACTATGAAACTACAAGAGGTGTACTTTTCTGTTGTTCAAAACTTATTCGGGGAGCATCACCCTTTTTAAAGCGGCTCTTGATTATCCTGACGTCACATTGTTACAATCAGTTCAAATGCCAATTAAAGTAATGTTACATGTACATTGCAAGAGCAGTGCTTATAAATGACCTATATTTAAGAAGAAAATGCCTGACAGATATACTGTTGACATGGCGAAACATCTGACAGAGTTCTAGTTGTTATAAATTATAATTTTAGAGCATGGAGAGAAAAGGGAACCTTTACAGATTACTGAATGTTGGAGAAGATTAGATGGTCATTCAAGCAGGGTTACTGGCCTGGCCTGGAGTCCTCATGTTGATGGTGCCCTTGTATCAGTATCATATGATGGAAATGCTCTGGTAATGTTTAAATAATTTCTTATTTCATTTGAAGAAACATTTTATTCTGAAGTATGTGTGTTTTTGTGTCGCCTTGAAAAGGTGACATATAGGGGTTACTTTTGTCGGCGGTGTCGGCGGCGGCGGTGTCGGCGTCGTTGTCGGCGTCGGCGTCCCCTAAAGCTTGTCCGGAGCATAACTCAGTCACTATAAGTCTGATTGACTTCAAACTTGGTATGCATGCTTCTTTCAATAACCCGAAGTGCAGTGCACAAGGACCGGTACTCTGCAGTTCTTATTTTTGGAGTTATTACCCTTTGTTAATTTTTATACTTTAATTTTGTCCGGGCCATTTCTCTTCAACTAAAAAAGCTATGGACTTGAAACTTCATAGGATGATAGATCTCATTAAGAAGAAATGCAGTGCACAAGAACCAGTACTCTGCACTTCCTAATTTTTGAGTAATTGCCCTTTGTTAATTTTCATACTTTATTTTTGTCCGGGCCATTTCTCCTAATGTATAAAAGCCATGGACTTGAAACTTCATAGGATGATAGGTCTCATTAAGAAAAAGTGCAGTGCACAAGAACTGGTACTCTGCATTTCTTATTTTTTGAGTTATTGCCCTTTGTTTATTTTCATACTTTAAATTTGTCTGGGCCATTTCTCCTTAAGTATAAAAGCTATGGACTTGAAACTTCATAGGATGATAGATCTCATTATTAAGAAGTGCAGTGCACAAGAATCTGTACTCTGCATTTCTTAATTTTTGAGTTATGGCCCTTTGTTAATTTTCATACTTAATTTTTGTCCAGGCCATTTCTCCGAAAGTATAAAAGAAATGGACTTGAAACTTCATAGGATGATAGATCTCATTAAAAAGAAGTGCAGTGCATAAGAACTGATACTCTGCATTTCTTATTTTTGAGTTATTGCCCTTTGTTGATTTTCTTACTTTATTTTTGTCCTGGTCATTTCTCCTCAAGTATGAAAGCTATGGACTTGAAACATCATAGAATTTGATAAGAAGTGCAGTGTACAGAAACTGCAGCTCTGCACGTATTATTTTTTAGTTATTGCCCTTTGTTATTTTTCATATTTCATTTTTGTCCTGGCATTTCCCCTAAACTACATTGTTCACAAGGCGACACATCCGACTCGCGGAGTTCTAGTTTAGCTCCACTTTTTATTTTGAAAAAATAAAATTGAGGTATTGTTAGTCATGTTGGCGTTTTGTTGCTGTCTGCAAGCCAGTTTAACTGGAGGGGACTTAAGGTTAACCATCCATCCGTCCTCCCATCTGTCCGTCGGTACAAACACAGATGTACTTTTGTGACTCCAAGTAGGGCTGCAACGATAAACCAAAAGTTCGATTTGATTTTAGACACTCCAATTCGATTTTTTGTACCCCAACTTTAGGGGGGGAGTTGGCATTTAATTTTTATACCCTTGTCAGTCCATCAAGTGGATTTATTAAGTATTTGTACAGTTATTGACCTTCTCTTAGTGAAAATTTGCAATTTTCAACTTGTAGATCAGAAGTATTTGACCAAAAGGCGCTCAGTCACATAATCAAATATTTTACGTAATTGGCATATATATGTACAATAAAATATAAGGCCCCCAGCAGATCAAAAACATAATGCGGAACAAACAAGAACATGAAAGAAATGACCAGATCACGATTATCTTTTTGTTGTCGCCATTTGAAAGCATTCATCCAAGTGCTTAAGTTTTTTATTAGCTCACCTGAGCACAACGTGCTCATGGTGAGCTTTTGTGATCCCCCACTGTCTGTCCCCCACTGGTGAGCACATTGGGGCCAATGGCCCCCTTGTTTCATTAAAATCCCTCAAATAGTAATGAAATTTGGAAAACTTTCACAAAATGTCATTAGTTTTAATTCATGTCATTTTCGACCGCCATACAATTCATGTATACCAACAAGATTTCTGGTCGATTATTATGAAATAAACAAAAAACTGCTAGAATTTCCACATACGTTCCATAAACAAACTCTTTTCCTATCGATCTGCGAAGTCTTAACTGATTGAAAGCCCTCTACATACATAAACATAATTCTTTTAAAAGATAAAGGATTTCGCTTGTGACAGTATTTTCATTGCCATGTATAGCACATGTATACTGTTCCGCTCTGAATATTATACAAGGATTTGATTGGTTAAGATAATAATCGGAATACTATTGATCAATCGTATAATACTATTTCTTTGCTTCATTCACCTGTCACTTTAAAATCAAAATGGCAAACCTTACTTGACCTCCACTTTCACGACCAATATTTTTAAAATACTTAGGTACATAGAAGACTCTCGTTCTGTTTATACTTCGCAGATCGATAGAAAAAGAGTTTGTATATGAAATTTATGAGGAAATTTTATATGTTGTTGTTTATTTCGTCGGAATCAACCAGAAATATTGTTTGTATACATGAATAGATTGGATGTCGAAAACGACATGGATTGACAATATTGGCATTTTGTGAAACTTTTAGTCATTTCTTTGCTATTTGAAGAATTTTAATGAAATAAAAAGCGTTAATGCTCGGATTGATCCTTTTGAATGGCGACCAAAAAGAGATAACCGTGATCTGGTCGTTTCTTGCAGCAGTGTTCTTGTTGTCCCCCACCTATTAGAAGAAAAAAGGGGGATATAGAAATAGGCTCTGTCCGTCCGTGCTAACGAATGATATATTGTGTGACTTGGAGAACAATAGGTAACAGTAAATTCTCTTTGGTCCCATTCATTCCTTTTTACTTGTGTGTCTTTTAAGCTCACCTGAGCATGCTCAGGGTGAGCTTTTAGGATCGATGATTGTCCGTCATCTGTCGTCCGTTCACATTTAGTTGTTAACACTCTAGCGGTCGCATTTTTGCCTCAATCATCATCAAACTTGGTCAAGATGCTTATCTAGTTGATAGCTCGGATGAGTTCGAACATGGGTCATCTCTGATGAAAAACTAGGTCACAAGAGCTAAAAATAGAAAAACCTTGTTAACACTCTAGAGGTCACATTTTTTCCTCAATCATCATCAAACTTGGTCAGGATGTTTGTCTAGGTGATAGCTCAGATGAGTTCGAACATGGGTCATCTCGGATGAAAAAGTAGGTCACCCAAGCTAAAAATAGAAAAACTTTGTTAACACTCTAGCGGCCACATTTTTGCATCAATCATCATCAAACTTGGTCAGGATGCTTGTCTAGGTGATAGCTCAGATGAGTTCGAACATGGGTCATCTCAGATGAAAACTAGGTCACCGGAGCTAAAAAAAGAAAACCTTGTTTACACTCTACAGGTCACATTTTTGCCTCAATCATCATCAAACTTGGTCAGGATGTTTGTCTAGGTGATAGCTCAGATGAGTTTGAACATGGGTCATCATGGATGATAAAGTAGGTCACCGGAGCTAAAAATAGAAAAACCTTGTTAACACTCTAGCGGTCATATTTTTGCATCAATCATCATCAAATTTGGTCAGGATGCTTGTCTAGGTGATAGCTCGGATGAGTTCGAACATGGGTCATCTTGGATGAAAAACTAGGTCACCGGAGCTAAAAATTGAAAAACCTTGTTAACACTCCAGCGGTCACATTTTTGTCTCAATCATCATCAAACTTGGTCAGGATGCTTGTCTAGGTGATAGCTCAGATGAGTTCGAACATGGGTCATCTCGGATGAAAAAGTAGGTCACCAAAGCTAAAAATAGAAATACCTTGTTAACACTCTAGCGGTCACATTTTTATGCCCCCACAATGTGGGAGCATATAGCGTTGCACTTGTCCGTCAGTCAGTCCGTCCGACCGTACGTCCCGAAATCTTGTGAACGCAACTCCTCTTAAACCAGATGGCAGATTTTGCTTAAACTTACAGGGATGAACAACCTTAATGTGTAGATGGTAGTAAAGGAAGGAATTTTTGCTGCGACCAAATTTAACAGAATTATGGCCCTTTGTTGATTTTTTCACTAGATACTATGTAGAAATTTTGTGAACGCAACTCCTCTTAAACCGGATGGCAGATTTTGCTTAAACTTACAGGGATGAACAACCTTAATGTGTAGATGGTAGTAAAGGAAGGAATTTTTGCTGCGACCAAATTTAACAGAATTATGGCCCTTTGTTGATTTTTTCACTATATACTATGTAGAAATTTTGTGAACGCAACTCCTCTTAAACCGGATGGCAGATTTTGCTTAAACTTCCAGGGATGAACAACCTTAATGTGTAGATAGTAGTAAAGGAAAGAATATTTGCTGCGACCAAATTTAACAGAATTATGGCCCTTTGTTGATTTTTTCACTATATACTATGTAGAAATTTTGTGAACGCAACTCCTCTTAAACCGGATGGCAGATTTTGCTTAAACTTACAGGGATGAACAACCTTAATGTGTAGATGGTAGTAAAGGAAGGAATTTTCACTGCGACCAAATTTTATAGAATTATGGCCCTTTGTTGATTTTTTCACTATATACTATGTAGAAATTTTGTGAATGCAACTCCTCTTAAACCGGATGGCAGATTTTGCTTAAACTTCCAGGGATGAACAACCTTAATGTGTAGATGGCAGTAAAGGAAGGAATTTTTGCTGCAACCAAATTTAACAGAATTATGGCCCTTAGTTGATTTTTAGCTCACCTGAGCTTGCTCAGGGTGAGCTTTTAGGATCGGTGAATGTCCGTCGTCCGTCCGGCCGTCCACAATTACTTGTGAACACTCTAGCGGTCGCATTTTTGCCTCAATCATCATCAAACTTGGTCAGGATGCTTATCTAGTTGAAAGCTCGGATGAGTTCGAACATGGGTCATCTCGGATGAAAAACTAGGTCACAAGAGCTAAAAATAGAAAAACCTTGTGAACACTCTAGAGGTCACATTTTTGACCCAATCATCATCAAACTTGGTCAGGATGTTTGTCTAGGTGATAGCTTGGATGAGTTCGAACATGGGTCATCTCGGATGAAAAAGTAGGTCACAGGAGCTATAAATAGAAAAACCTTG